CGCAAAACAAAATAACAAAAAAGGGGAGATCGCGTTGTACAATACAAAATTGAAGAAAGGAATCAACAGTTTTCTTGTATCAATTTTTTTCTTGCCTCGCATTGGGAAGATCCTGTTGCAAGCTTTCCTCAGATTGGTCAGTTTGGATCACTGTGCATGCCCATTACTTTACCTGCTATCCTGATGTTTACATGACACAAAATTGCTACATTCCACTTCCAACGTAATTTGACACGCATTTGCATCGGGCTCACCGGTAATGTTTACCAAATGTCACCGTTGAACTCTCAAACCTACTTGTCCTCAAGTTATCCTCGTCCAGATCAAGATTTCATTCGTAGATAATTCAGTTTATCCGTTTTATATGGTCGGCATTTGTAAAAAGAGTAAATTGTCAGTTTGCGTGAATTTCGCACCAAATTTGGTTTGTTGTTATCAAGATATTCATCACACGAAATTCGTATTTTTTGCGCACTGCAGTCCAAAATGCCTTCTGGTATACAGCCACACCATTAATAATGCGTTCAACGGTTGAGTGCACAAACTTTTCAAAGTGTTATTTATATAGACACCATGGTCCTGCATTTTCAATCTTTTAAAGGAATACATGTCCTATACAACTTGATTAGAAGTGTGTGATACGAAATACTGTTTAGCCGTGAACCAACTTCGCTCAGTAATTTGCCACACGCAACATCGAGGGAGCATTGTAAAGTACTTAGTTGGAGTTTTTTTAGATGTTTCATGTTCTCATTAGTAAAATTCTTCATGAGTTATAAGAAGCTTTGACACCATGGCCTGCATTTTCAATCTTTTAAAGGAATACATGTCCTATACAACTTGATTAGAAGTGTGTGATACGAAATACTGTTTAGCCGTGAACCAACTTCGCTCAGTAATTTGCCACACGCAACATCGAGGGAGCATTGTAAAGTACTTAGTTGGAGTTTTTTTAGATGTTTCATGTTCTCATTAGTAAAATTCTTCATGAGTTATAAGAAGCTTTCTAATTTTGTAGTGTGTATATGTGTTTTCAAACATTCAGGAAAACTAGTAGCAACCCGATTTGCTAAAATTCGCCAGAAGCCGCTGGTATTATATTCAACCCCTTTTGGGAATAAATCACGTAGAAATATTTGTTCTTCATGTACAGTTCAGTACTAAATGATCCAGTCATTGTGAGCAAAGCAACTAGCGAAAAATCGGGAATGTCATAATTTGCCACTTTATTAGAGGGGTGCTTTTGAATGACATTGCGGCCATTGAAGTTACAATATGTGATGAGATGCTTGGGCAGAAAACTGTTTATTTCTGCAGGTCTATCTGCCGAGAAAGTGAGATTTGAACGTCCGTTTTAAATTTGACCGTTCATGCTACAACACCTGTAAGAACTCACTAGCAGGACCAGATATCGGTCCATCAGTTTACTTGGACGTGATCTTGACTGACGATTTCCAAGAAAAATCTCATGGAGTGCGGTTTCCACTTAGGAACACGCTGTCCGTATAGGGTAAACGTGTGGAGTGTTCATAGGAAAACCGTATGAACAATCTTCATTCGATCGGATCATCAATGCCCAGAATCTTACACAAGTAGTGTTCAAGCGTATTAATCCTGTCTTTTATACAATACGCATGACCACGTCATATGTCACTGTTTAGTCCAAACGTTGTGCTTGCCTTGTTATTATCAACTTGACGATGCAAATGTAGTGGACATAAGAGTCTCATATTAGAGGTCGTTTTCAGCATGCAGGCAGTTACCTGGTCGAGACACTCACAGGTTCCGCATCACTCAAGACACGCGCCGCTGATGATTTCCAGTAAGGCAGGAGCAGCTGTAAAGTGCTTCTTATTGTAGAAGTGCAATCTCTTTGTTCAAATCTCCAAATATTTTCACACTATCAACAACTTTATAAGGAATGTTTTATACGGTGCTCTTAATCTGACCCAAATGCTCACAAGAAGAATACCCACCTAGTGATCACCAAATGGTCTCCTAGTCAGCCCCGAATATTCAGAAAAATCCCATGTATTTAAGTAACACATTTTGTCAGTTTTAACAAAGATGTTATAGGCAGCGTAGAAATGAAGTTCTATCAACCAGCCCCATCATGAGTACCGGTCGTTTTTTAGGAAAATCCTCAAGCGCCACTGCAATTATCTGGCGAACGGAAACAGCTCATTTTAGTTTTGGAAGAAAACGAGGTGATTCTCAGTATAGCGTTATAACTTTCAAGGTCTAACGATGAGGCCGTTTTTAAATATCCTCTCCACAGCTCGAAGTCTCCAGTCCATGTTGTTACCTGCAAATCATATAGCCTCATCGCGGAAGGCGAGCTTGGGAAAAACATCATTCTCAACTGTATAGGTACGTATACATCCTATCTTCCTGAAGACTTGGACCTAAAATCTGATCATCGTTTTGCCCAACCAACTTACTTTTTTTAGCACAAACTCATTTTGAGCAAAAATATGTCAAATCTACCAATAAACGGCTGAAGTCCTCCTGCTGAGTGATATCACAGGTTCAAAGTCGGAACGAACATCCCGGATTTGACTATGGTGAATATGGAGATTTCAGAGTTTGGTTTGAGCAAGTTGGTCTTTCTGGTACCTGAAACCTATCCACACCAAAGCCATCCTGTTTTGGCTTCTTTCTACATCAAATCTATACACATTTTCCCCTTTTTCTGTTGATGCACTTGTGGTTTTAATTCGCCTGCTTGGACACTTCTGGATCTGAAAGACCTGCTTATTTCTGTTTCTTTATGAAATGTGATAAAAAATGATGCGAAAATAATCCGTTGCCATATGTTTGCATGGAACATTTCTCAAGTGCTTCCGAAAATTGGTTAAAATTGTATATCATCTTCACATAGCACCACTTAGCACCACGAACGATAACCATCCGTTTCATAACAAGTCATTTATCCAAATATTCTAATAGGCTGCTTAATCTACTCATGTCTGATTGAACTCGCAACACAGGTAGAATTATCTACACACTGTAGCCACATAAACTACCCAACATGACGTGTACAGACGTGCTATGTTGGTCACAACCAAACCAGAATGTAACACAGTTGAAAATAGCCCGGAACGCACGTCACATTCAAACAAATGGTGATTCAGGATTTCTGTGCTGTGACGGAGGAAATATTACACATTCAGAATAACAAAAACAGTGAACGGGACTGCCACTTGATTGGGAACCCCTCTAATATTTACACGGACTTGTCGTTTGCTTTTGGGACTAGTCGCAATAAACGCCTGACATGGTAGTCAGTCTTCCCATCAGATAAGCCCCATGCATTGTTTGTTCCCCAAGTCATCTTGCCGCTGTTTCTCCTAACAACCTGGCTCAAAGTGTATGTCTGTCACAGTTTTTCTTCCTAACGACCATCACCATCCATGGTTAAGGTATCATTATTTTTTAAAGTCATTAGAGGGTAAATCCTTGTCCCAAGCTGGATAGGTTTCCGTCAGAATAAATGTAGTTAGTTGTCAGCGTTACTTGTTCTCCTAATGGTATATGTATAGCTTAAAATGCCGTATTATCATGCCTGCACCCTGTGGAACCGTGACGTCCATGTACTCACATTACATGTGTGCTACAGTGGCATATCTCTTTTTTTTCTGTTGTAAGAACGTTTTTGCCGTGGAGGACTTCCACTTGTTAAACATATTTGTGTAGATGTGTACGTTTCGTGACAAAATGGAAGCAAGTGTACTCTATGCAGGTTATATTTTCGGTTACACGTTCTAATTTTTTGGTGAAACTATTCCACGTACAGTGGACAATAACTACGTCAAACCCCAGTGTAGTGGCAGCGGATGTTACAATATGATGTTCTCAACCGGCTGGCTGTAGTAACAATTGAAAATAGTTGCCCATAACAACCAAAATTTTGAACTGTAGCAGTCCATTTCACTACGCGGCGTTTTGACTAAGGTTTTCATGTTATTACACAACATGGCGCTAAATTTTCCTAAAGGTATGTTGGGCGGGGTTTAGCCCGAAATATCTAACCCACTTACTTACTAAGTTTTTTACATTCCCCAATCATACATCCGCATTTACTCCTGTGTATTATTCTTGTGTATTATCAGGAACTGCGCAGTTTGACACTTGTGGAGGTCACGGTTTTAGCAATCAGGCTGACCCCGTGAACCTATTCGGGAGGAGGGGGGAATCTTGCTATTGGACAATCGCATACAAAATCTAATTTATAAACTCTGGAGCATGCGGTTGAGTGGAGTGCGAGACCAGGTTCATAGAACCTGCCGAAATCTGCGGCCTATGGATCATACTTTTCCTGGTGAATGAGCGAAATGCGCATGGCCCAGAACCGACTCCACTATGGTTACGACCTAACCCTTTCAGATTTTAGAATATAGAAATTGTGTATCCATTGGTCTGAGGAAACGGCGGCTGCGTGTCTGTGTTAATTTGTGTCAATGTGCAAAGGTGGATAACCAGATCGACTGCGTCTGCTCATAGATAATGCTGTCTGACATGAGTACTGCCAACTTCAGGAGAAAAAATCGCTTATATTTCATTGTAAGAAAATAGCCATTATGTAACTGAATACCCTTTATCATCTCACGTAGTCCCTTCAAAAACACTATACTGAGATAGAGACTTCTCTCAATATCCGGTGCAAATTAGCATTTGCCACATCCCAGGCTAGTTTTACAAGCTTAACGAGTGAAACTGGAAGAGAAGTTTCCTTACATGTATGAGCTGGTGCCAGGCACAACATCCAAAATGCTATTTAGGCGTCTCACAGTGGAGATGTCAAAGAAGTTTGCGGCTTTTTCCAGATATAATTTTCTTACATTTGACTAGATACTGAAGTTAGTTACAGTTGGCGCAAATTAAATTTCGTAAATCTACATTTTCTAGAAAATTTTGGTAAATTTATGATCAGAAGACCTTCTTCTAATAGTGCCTAAGCAGTCATCTGCTAATCAAGGTCCAAGTGGTTTTCCGCTTACCATGCTATTGAACGGTTTCAACACCCGACGTTCACTTTCCGAGTGGATGTGATACATAGAGGACTTGTCTTTCTTAAATATCCTTAGGGAATACGCGTAGAAACTCTGTGAAGAGTGAAAAATTTGAACAAGTATTTTGCAATCTGGTGTAATCGATGTTCGCAAGCAAAATGCTGACATCTAGATGAAACACTTACACACCCCGGTCCAGAAATCTCGCAAGTTGGAAACTATTCTTTGAGCAATGGTATTGCTATAGCCTTAAGGAGAGAATCAGGAATTTCGGCCAACCATCTGATCAACCTGTGGTAAGCAGAGTCACCCAAATCCCTAGTAGATCTCAGGTTAAATTCCTTGGTTTTCACACTCATCAAGGAAAATCAGAGGACTCACTCGAACCTGTATCTGTCAGGTGTGCTGCTATTACGTGACCTCAAGTTGGATAATCGCTCAGGAACAGAATAAGTGTACTATATGACGAACTAATAAAGTGGAGTGGAACGTCAGAACCTAGACCACTAAACTTGGTTTGTTGGTATGTAGGTGAGCTAAATAATGTCCTGAATCAACCCGCAGGCGTTTTCTTTGGATCAGTTAACCTATTTTTTTCAACGTAAAAACCCATTGCCGCTCAACCTGTCCGAAATTATTGAAATTCTGGTCTTTATATTCCACAAGGAAAATTCTAACCTCACAGTTTCTGTGCTGATGATATTAAACTGGTGTAGATTTGTGTTCACATAGCTTACTGCGTCAAGCGGATCAAGATTCTAATGGTTTCACCAGAACGGTATAAGTTGGTCCGAACACGGTTTCTCTTATTCTAGAATATCAAAAGCGGAGTCTTAGATAATATAACTAATGGACCAATCAAGTGGATTAGACAAGCTAACTCTGTCTTTCTGGTGTGAACGTTAACGAATCTGCTCAAATGACCACAAAAGTGTGGACCAAACTAGGAACAACCCCAGTTGATGGGAAGCCTGTGGCAAACAAGACGACTCAAAACTACAACTAAATAGCCAAAACACTGACTCCAGTTACCACACTTTTGAGATTGTTAAACGGAAAATACTTAAACAAATGATTGGACGTTTTACAGCTATTGGCCAGGAGTACATATGACTGCTAATAGTAGGTTTGCCTGAGAACCTACAACAATAAGATTCAGGTGGATTAACGCCACCTGAAAGCGATGAATCATACGAAGTACACAGAGAGAAAGTGTTTCCAATTCATGGACAACATACTCAGCCAGGCTAGTTTAACCAAATATTCAGTGTTTTGTTCCTGAGTATTCGCTGAGTCATGAGCTTTCCCGTCTCCATAACGTTAGGACGGGAATAAGTTAAGGTTGAATGAATATGACGCCAGAATAAACCCCTCTATACATACCTCTCCACACCAACTAATCAACCTCGAGAATTCCCTGCAAATTGCTAACATGAATGACATTCATGATTGCGTACGTCATTAAACATTACTCGGAATTTTGGTGTCTATCGAGTCGATGTATTCAGCGGTTGCATTCGGGCCTTTTCTTTTTTTGAGTTGAATGAAACATTTTAACGAAACAGGGTTACTATGACACCCTTCAGTTGATTCAGATCACACAACAATTGTGTCCAGTGCAAGAACTCCCCACTGGGACTTAAAAGCACTTAACTGGTTAATGATCACACAAAATATGAAACAAAATCCAGCGGAGTCACACAAAATATGAAACAAAATCCAGCGGGATGATCCCAGGCACGGCACGGATACGAGCAAGCACGAAATTGTCTCGGAGATGTTTTCTTGTCCCGGAAGTAAATTTGTCCTATTTCCAAACAAACAAACAGAGCACGGCCTATTCCTGTCTATGATGCTGCTTTCCTATGGAATGCGAAAACTGGACATATATCCAGGACGTATTGGCTACCGTCCAAAAGATGCATAATATGTTTTATTTGTCCGGCTAACTATTTACTGTAAATATGTGGAAATTCGTTTCTGTCACGATCAGGTAATGTGACACCCACATCGTCCGCAAAAAGACTCTCAGCAAACCTATTGTGGTTAAAAGATGGGTTTTCCTTTGAATCACTATATATGAATACTAAACGTTCTTGTGATTGTCCCTCTATATTTTATCCCTTTAGTCTACAGAACACCATATCCTTCTTGCATCAAATGGGTTCTTTCATCCCCCTTAACCTTATTTTACCGACACTGTGATCTGATTTACTGACGTTTAAGACACCTCTGGTCAAAGTGAGCCATGATTTGCGTCCGGCCAAGAAATCCAAGGTTCAACCACCTGAACTGCTTTATCCCATCTTAAAGTATGGTGTCAACACCACTCTGTTATTAGGTGTAACCTTACTTCAAGCTCCAGGCATTCACACTTGGCACACTGGTCATTATCGAAACGCAAACAACCAAAGTCAAGAAGCTACCAAAACCAAGCTAGAGAACTGGTGAAACCTTTTAATGTTGACTGTGGTTACTGTGCATGCTAACAAATTGAAGCAGTAGTCTGATAGCTGCTGGTCCCAGCTTTGTTCTCAGGTTTCGTCGTACCACTCTGTTTCGCACAGTGGGTCTGCGCAAATGTTAACATTGCACTGTGTGCAGGTCTGTCGATATTTGATGGACTTTTCAATTTAGATGCAAAATGTCTTTCCTGACACATCTTTTTGCAGTGTTGGGTGGTAGAACAGCGATTCGGTGTAGCATCTGTATATACGTAACGAAACTTCTAAGATGCGTGCTACCCATATGGGAACCAAACCGTGTCATTTTCTGGTTAGTGTAAAATGCAGCACGATTGTGTGCCTTCAAGGCAAGTCGCTGGAGATTTTTAGTGCTGCTTTGGTTTTGTAGAATAATCCTTATGTGGATCGCAATGGGACATGTCATTGTTGCTGAAACTTGTGTTCATTGTGTCTGTTCAAGGTGTGCCTAAGATTTTAGATTTTCTGTCCCAGGATTCAGCTGCGCACACACCAAGGTTCTGACTCCTCCGTATTTTGCTCCTAAAATGGGATATGATGCACTGTTCAAAAGATCTTCTGGTGGGTACATGCAACCAAATTCACGAGTAAGATAACGATGACCGTGGTCGGTTTTTCGGAAGATGTCATTGACGATAATAAGTCGCTGTAATAATAAGAGGAATTTCCTTTCCGTGACAGTCAGTTATGTAAACATTATAATTATGGAGAGAGCAATCTATGTAACTATCATGCATGAATTAAATTCTGTTCAAAGAATCAGTTGAAATGTCATCCTTTCGTCATTGCTTCAACTTCTATTTCTGCCTCTTTTTTTCGGAGCAAACCCAAAACTGTCTTGTTACTTCTCGCCCATCACGTATTGAACACTATGTGGTGCCGTTTTCCGGTAGTTTCTGTGCGATTCCTAGTAACATGGCTTGATAAACATTCAGCGCATGACTTCATGATAAAAAGCTCCGAAAAAAACGTTTCCCCACCACTACATAAAAACTGATAGTATGCGCTTGTATTCACCATGGACTTTTGCCCTCTAGCTGAATGACCGAAGTGTGTAGTCAGTTTCCTAAAGAATCCATTTCACATGTCATCAGTGTTCTTTTTATTTAGCCAAAATAAGGGGCATGTTTCGTCATCGGTATTCATGCGAATTTGACAGTTTTGTGGCGGTTGCGTTGATTTCGACCACTTTAAAGCAACACAAATCAAGTTAAGATTCAAAAGCAACACAATCAAGTTAAGATTCAGTGATTCAGTAATCGTGGTCGCATATTACGGAATCAAACTAGTACACCAGTGTTTGGTGAAGAATGGAGCTTTGTACAGAGAGATTACTTGGTAGTTGTGCATTATTCACTCCTCTGAACTTGCCCTGAAGGTTTTTGCATGTAGTTGGACTGATGAGACCGTATTTTTGGCTGCAAAACTCGGATGTGCACGCCCTGTTTGTGAAGATAAGACTCTTACTGCGTCCATAGGAATGAATTAGACGGACTCAGTCCTTGGCCGTTTTAGTTGGCGTGATAGAAGGGTCATTTTAAAGCTTCTGTAGCTGTTGCGCATTCCCAATAACTTGCTGTTTTGGCCCATCGAGGAGAATTCCGAGGCCTTTAGCCATCCGCCTTACAGTTTGCGCTGGACAATGTGAATAGATGAGCGTATGGAGGCAGTGACATTTTCGTCATTTATGAGCTGTCTTGAATTTTACAGGCTGTATTGGACACTGCAAGTTTCAACTGGAAACTAAAACCAAATGCACTGTAGTGAATAAGTTGCCATATCAAAACATCCTTGGTGGTTTGGGTACTTTGGTCAAATCTAACAAACCAGGTCACAGGAATACCATTTCAAATTTCAAGCGTGAAACTGATTCGACATGTAAGTACTTGTGCCCAAAAAAACTTCATTCAAGGCGTGTGACTAGGCCCATAATTCTACTTGCGGCTTCCGACTCCTCCCGCTGAGCCGACTGAGACCTATTTGTGTTGAGAGTGCTTGAATTATTGAGAGAAACAAGCAGCAGATCAAGGAAAATGCGGTAATGGACATACTAACGTTATAGGTCTTCCGATAGAGTAACGCATAAATATAACTCCATAGCCCTAATTATCTCCGAAAGGTGTAGTATCAGGATGATACACCTTTCAAGTTGTTTTGCAACTTGTGTTGAGCAGGTTTAACCATTTGGTCACAATTCCTCATTCATATCATGGTGGGTGCGTTGTTTCACAACTGTATGCATTCCTGAGGTGTTTCTGCTTCAAAATTTGACACCGTTTATCAAGCGGTGCGCGTAGGTCGATCAACATATGCCTCCATCAACCGTGGGGATTTTCAAACAAAGATTTTTGTCCATTAGAGTAACGAGACAGAACTTATACCTTCATCGAATCACAAGTGAATGCATCTCATGTGTTCTAGATAACAGTCCAGGCAGAACGTTCGAGTGGAACTGAAACGATCTTTCTTTTACATTAATTATTTATAGACAGATTAATATTCGCTGGCTGAAAATTGTTGTATCCAAATTTGTACATCTGGCTAGGTAGGATGATGATGACCAACCACAGGGGTTTCCCTATATTTCATCCTGTAAACTGAAATGACATC